TTTTTTATTTATTTTATTAGAGAAATATTAAAGGAAATGTCTCCTTGTCTAGGGCCACATGGGCCCTGGATTTCCAAAGTGCCTATTTGGCAACCCCCCTATTGGGGGGTGGGGGTGGGCTATCGAGACAGGGCACCCAATATTAAATTATTATTTTTGGTCGACTAATAGTAAAATGGATAGATTTCGTCCATATTTCCTCTAGCTGTAATCAAGATGAAAGATTTGAGACTATTTGTGCAAAAATAATAGGTTATGGTATAGTTTACAAAAATTTGAAAGGTTTGGGACCCCAACCGCAATTCTCCCTAAAAGAAAAAGAGTTCAATGTAAATATAAGTGGGTGAATTTATTTTGTGCTCCAGTATCCTATGATCCATTAAGTTGCTTTTCAATATTAGTAAGAGTAAAAAATTGTGCAGGCTGTGTTGTTTTGGTGTAACAAGATAGTCTCGTGCTTCAAAGAGGAGCATTTCCAAGAAAAGTGAGCAAGATTTATTTACTGATATTAATTTTCAAATTAAAAGCAAAGATTACACGCATCTTCGGGAGGGAAATTTGAAAAAAGGCTGTGTGTACATTGTTGTACACTTACAGCACTCTCACAATTGTGGGGCCCACGATTATTTTAATCGTGGGCTCCACCTCAAAATTGCTGTACTTGTAGTATTGCTCGGGAAATTTCGCTACAGATTTTCTAGCTAATGTACGGTATAATTGAGGCCTCAGATCCCTCTCCTCGGATCCAAGGAGACACATTGATTGACGGAGTAAAAGTTGGATTATACAATCTGACTCAGAGAGAAATCCATCGAACTGAGACTTCACCAACAACAAGAAATTCTAAAGATCAAATAATAGTGGTCTAGGTACAGATAACAAGAATGGAAGAGGGTCAAAAAAAGGAAGTTCAATCCTACAATTTAAAGAAGCAAATTCTTTGAAGCTGAAGGCACCTTGTTCATTACTGGCGCCCAAACAAAAGCAAAATTAATCTCCTTCATTTTGTGTGGATGAATTGAAGAATTTTTTGTTCAGGATCAGTTATTAAAAAATGAAAAATAAAAATCTACGACCTTAATTTATTTATACCTTTTCTTCTATACAGTAATTATTCAATTCGTCAAAAGGAAGAGATATGGGTCTTTTAAGCGGCACAAGATCCAAACAACGTAAATAATTTACTTAGTTTCATATATGCACATAGGTTGCACAATAATCAACAGGATAAAAGCACTTAAAAATTTAATGTTCCAAGATTAAGTGCCTTCTGCCGGTTTTATTTGTTGATAATAATTTTCAACTTGAGAAGCATAGGTCATTCTACATTAAAGTTAATACCAAGAGAAAAATATGTATATACCTAATATTAGATGTATCATATATATTACTTTAAAGTAAACTGTAGAATTTATGCGAGAGGTCGACACTTCAAACCACACTGATCGTGCGAATATTTAGAAGTATACGATTGGACTTTAGGGCCTTTGACTTCTTTCATTAAAACAAATATTTAATTACAAATATTTATTTTACTTATTCTGTTAAAAGTAGTCAACAAGATAAAACTATTGGAGGCAGTTATTGGGTGATTTAGTGTAATCATAAATTCTGTAATGTTTTACAAACTCGGTTCTAGGATTATTTTATTTTGTCCACATATTTGGTTCCGGAGTAAAACCTGAGACTACGGAAAATCAATTGGTATTGCTAAATAGGTTATTCGATCGTTGTATTGTAAGAGTTACCAGTTAACAAATTAGTACACAATACATTGAGATGCAAAATCACCATCAGAGAAGACTTCAATGCGAAATGGGCCTGGAAAAGTGTTCAACGTAGAGCCTTTACATAAGGGAATTTGACACCAAAACATGCCGCCCAAGATATCCTATTTCGCTTTCATGCTTTTAAACAACTGGATACTGATATACGCTATTCTCCAACGGCATTTGAACCTCTGGTTGACATCAATGTGTATATGTCATAGTTAGCAAGAAAACACCCAACAAGTCTTTATAGATAGCCCTATTCGGTTTGGAGTGCAAGAGCAAGATTTTGACCAGCTGAGACACTGAACCTGCAGATACATTTCTCAGAGCATTTAGTAGAACTGCAGGTTGCACATTCAGTACTTGCATTAACCGTACTAGGTTTCCTATTGATGAGGTAAAGTTATGCTTGATGTGCACATATTGAGGTGGCTCCAATTTATTTTCTGTCAGGTCATTTCAGTTTAGGCCAATTTTGAATTCATCTATATTACATGGAAGAGTCAAGTGAGATTATTTCCTCTATTCTAGTGGCAGGAACCTCGTGTTTCTTATCGCTAGTCAGAAGGATGCCTCCAGCAATTGGCTTCCTCTGGTTGATCAGGGAAACAAATCATGGTCTTGGGAAGTGGTGCAAACTAATTCTAAGTGTAGCTTCTACACTTATTTGAGATCTTAAATGATGATATTTTGTTATTTTTTAAACTGATTAGTACCTAATTTGTTATTTATTGCTTTTATTAGGAAAAGTTCATGTTTGAAAGAAGAATTGGAAAAAAGAACGAAAAATGGCTAAAATGAAGCAAATCTAAAGTATGGGAACCAAAGTATAAATATCTAATGGTTGATTTAGACCACAAAAGATACTTTGAAGATTGATAGGAGTCAATTGAATGCAAATTGGAGTAAAAAAGGAAAGAGATATGATCAGAGTATTACCATAAATCGACTTCCAATCATATAAGACATCTTTAAGACTTTTGGTCAACTTGAGACCCATTTTTCGGATGGGGAACGTTTGAATTGGAAAAATTGTATTTCTAGAAGAATTGTAGCTCTTTTAACTAGCTTTCCAACGTACTTTGAATCACCTA